AGCTGGTGCGGCGTCGTGTGACGACTGTGCGGCCCACGCGCGCGGCCCAGCCGCGTCGCGTGCGGCGTCGCGGTCGTTGAGGCCGTCGCCACCGCCGCTACCCCGTCCATTCGTCGGGGGTGATCGTTCGTTGTGCGGGTGGAAGTGCTGCTGCCCTTGTTCTGCTTCTAACCAATGTTTAGGGGCATGTAGAGGAATCTTCGTAACAATTCAGGAAGAATCTGCCATGCTTCTCGAGTAGTAGCCTTGTCCTGGGGTACGATTTCCAAAACTTGGTTTTTTTTTTAATTTGCACAGCATTTTTTAGGAAACGTTTATCTAAACATAAGGTTCATTGAGAAACTGAGGGAGGCTAAGAATAATTGGAGTATCCGTCTTTTATAGCTTCCATTAAATAATTGCTTCTTGAATTGCTCTTCTTGCTCGTGCATGTAATGATCTCATAGTAAATGAAAATGAATTCAATAACATTATTTTTCATCTTGGGAAAGAGCATATGTTATTTGTTGGTTCCCCGTTTTGGATGTTCTTTGTGCGTCAATTTCTCCAGAAGTTCACTTCAATTTTCGTCGCTGTGACGAGTTGTAGAGTGAATGTACCCCATTTTCGCTCTCGTCTTGTACAAACAAATGGACTCTCGTTATGGAGCGTTTGGATTAGCCTGTTTGTATTGCGGATGTTTTTATGTCATTTGACAGCAAAACTGGAATTGAATTGGTTATTGGTGTATGCACGCATAGTGGAGCCATGACATTTACGCCATAGCGCCATATTTATTAGCGCCCCATTTGGTGGAAAAGCTGGTCCCCTACATTAAGCGCTTATTTTTGGAAGCATTAGGGAATGAGGGTGTGGTTCGCTCGGACAGAAAGCATTTTTTTCGCGTTTCGCAGGCAACGCGAAACATTTTTCGCTGTGGGAATTTCAGGGTCCACTTGTGATCAGCGGTGCACCCTGAAGCTCTTGCGGCGAAAAATGTTCCACGCTGCGAAGCGCGAAAAAGTTGCCTCCCTGTCCTAGCGTACCACACCCAAGGAATGACATGGGTCAAAGTTCCGCTAGACAGAAGCGAACTGGCAGCGAAACTGGCAGCGGAAACTTCATCTGCGAAACCCCAGCTCATTGTCAACCGCTCGTTTTGACCAAGTACCGACGTAAGGGGTCGTATTTGGCCGACGGGAGAGGGGATGGGGCCGTATTCGACAAGCGCGGGAATGACGAAATGTAAGTCAAATGTAAAGTCTTAGGCGCAGGCCTATAGCTTGAAACGATTAGAATCAAGACGTTTGTTGGTACGACAGTAGGTCAGAGGTATAACTTTCGAGTGCTTCTTCAACTACCAACCACAAACGAGTACATGGCGCATCTCAGGGCCGAAGAGTCTACTGCGAAGTGTCCATATTTAACTGTTCACGTACACAAATATACTCTCGAGGATAACCAATGTTTCAAACTGGACTCGCAAGTTGACTGATAGAGTGCCAATAGGACTCGCCAGATGGCTTAAAACAAAAGTTAAAAAATGGTGAGATTTGTTCTGTCGACTTCCCTTTAAAAGGTTTAGTATGTTTAGTATGTGTTATAACAAAAGAGCTTAGCGTTTTACCACAGTAATCATCCCGTCATACTTGAGTTTGGAGAGTGCTGTAAATAGGCCGCACTTATTCCCTGTTATGTTAGTTTTTTACTTGGCAGTGTGCAGTACACTGCCAAGTAAAAAGCTGCTCCGGTTCTACTGCTCAGGGAGGGGGTCGTATCGAGACTCTTCAAGAGGAGTTATATTTTTGACATGGTCCAACGTGACGGTGATCTGGCCCAGTCGCACCTGATCAGCGGTGGACCTTCGTGAATGTGAAACAAAATGGCGACAAAAGTCGCTTTCTGTTTTGGCGAATAAACCAAATTCCCATGAAAGAGATTCCATTTATAGTGCGCATATTACGTGCAAATTGCTGAAGCCTAATACTGCCGGTTCTACAGAGCCATCTTATGTGTTGCATTTGGTAAGCCTGACAACCACATTCTCCACGATTTCATGACAGCCGTGGTTGCTACCTAACTGTAACGATAGCTCGTTATCAGCTGAATCCCAGGCCCAGATTACCCTTCGTAGTTAACTGTTCATCGACATTGTACGTTAAAGGAATCTTCCACGGAAAAAGCTCCGCCCTCATTACCACAGAAAACGATACCTTAAAGGAATCTTCCACGGAAAGAGTGATCATTTTGTCTTGTGTGTAGGATTAGTATTATCGAAACTAACGCTTATGTTTCCGTTCTTTTTGCTATGCTCATGAGGCTAGGGGCCTAAGGGGTATCGTTTTCTAGGGTAATAGGGGCGGAGCTTTTTTCCGCGGAAGATTCCTTAATCTGCTGCAGTGGGTCCAATCAAACCTTTAAAACTGCAGAAATCTACTCTATAAAGATAACCAGCAAGCAAGTGGGAATGAGGAACCAATCGGTTTCTGCGCATGTGACGTAAACTTCCCTTGAAACACGAGGACAGTCGGTTGTGGGGGGGGGAGTAATACCAAAACTGGCCAGTGTGCATCTGTAGTCAATCAACGTCTGTTGTCCTGATTTCAGAAGTTCCACGAACCTCACTACCATCACCACATTCAGAGGGTGCGGGCGGGGGGGGTTGGTGTTACTCTCATCGTTAGACCTCTCTTGCCGCATGCTGTACTTGGTCCTGAGACCGGTCGACGCACTTTGCCCACGTTTCCACTTCCAAACAGCCGTCCAGCAAAGGTGAATATCTTTTGTACAGCAAATGCTTCTATTTCTCTCCTTGATGCTTCTTTCTTGAGGTATCCGCCGAAGTCATTGGAAAAGCCTCTAATCCATCCAACACCCGGTACTTGTATGCCACAATATCCCCAACTTGCTAACGCTACGCCCCTATCCGCCACGCGTTGAATTTGGTTCTACTCCATGTTTACTCAGCTGATGATAGTGCACAGATCAGCTCTGTGAACCAGGCTTGCATCATGCGATGCTTTGGAGCCAAAACCGGTCCTATGCGTGTATTAATCAACTGTGTTTTAAAGGCATGCCCCAGGATCGCACTGGTGTGGCTCTTGCACACGAATGTGAATGTATCGGTGCCAAGTGGGCCGGCAGTGAAGAAAAAAGGAAAAGAATCCGTCGAAAACGCTCAGGTTGAGGGCTCACTCACCTTCCTAATTGGCTGTGCTAAAGGAACGAGAGACTAAGCGCGAAGAGGAGAGTATGGGGCGAGAGAGCGCATCAGATGAGAGAGCACCAGACAACGGCCTGATAAGAGAGCTCGTTCGCTGCAGCTCGAGCAGCTTACTTTGCAAGCCCAAAGCGTTCTTGTCGGTCGAATTCCGTGCACGTGAACGCCACATTTGTGATTGTCCCCTAGGGTTCTATACTTCTGACCGAAGAGAAGAGTTATAAAAAACCTCTGCCTGGGTTGTGCCTTTAAGGCATCAGGAAAATTCACATCTCGAATGCGAGAAACCCGTCCACTCGCTTCCCTCGAGTTTGGCAAATCTCCAGACCGAACGGCGAGCCCGATTAAAACACAGATTGACCAGAGATGGAGCGTGGCCAAAGTTTATGGTTCATGAGAAAATCTCAAGGACATGAATAGACGCTTGAGAACATCCGCGCTGCCAGCCTACCGTGGCCATTTGGAACCTCCATGCGGTCGCCATCCAAATCGAAAAATGAATACTTACAAATTATCTAAACTTGGAAAGCTATTAAAACTGGGTTCCATATATCAGGGAAAGCTGGAAATCCCACCCAGCTCGCCAGGCAGGGCCTACCGTCATTGTACGCAAGATTGAAGAGGGATGGCAGAGCATAGCGACTTGGTTGGGGTCTTACATTAGAGAGTGTCGTAGTCATTTAGCAGTTATGTTGGGGGAGGGGGGGGGATGGAAGGGAATGGTGAAGCGGCGGCTGTATGAAGGCTTGGTATGGATTTGTGACGGTGCTACCCCTTAAGGGAAAGGGATCGCAAAAATTTTGAATTTGGCACAACGGACGTTTTAACAGGTACCCTAGCCTCCATCTTTCCGTTGTCAGTTGATTGGTAGTAAATTTTTGTGGTGAGAGTATGGAAGAATTGATACATCTCCGGTTGGCTCCCGCAAATCATTGCATAGACCAAATTAATTCCAAGTTCCATTCGGATTTCAAATGGCGGTAGGATGCATGGCGCATCTCAGAGCTGTTGACTGACGCCAGACATTTTATTCTTCCATCCATGTAATCACAATAATAATTGCGAAACCATTAGGGATAGCTGTTCTGTCAAAGAGTGAATGGGTACAGCGTTTGGTTACACCACTCCTTCAATTTCTTTCGACATTTTTGCTTCCAGTGGCGGAAACGTTCGTAGTTATCAAAGCAGTACTTGGCCTAGCAAGAATGGGTTAATGTTCAACTGAGAATTCATGTTCCTTTCCACGAATTATCGTCCATCATGCCATGTGTAGCAGGAATTATCTAAGGGCTTCATCAGGTAGAACTGATCCTGTAATTTTATTCAAAATCTCAGCTAGAAGCCAGTGCTTCATGCATCGAGGTGAATAACTAGCACATTATAAATAGTTAGTTTACTAGAAGAAGCTTACCACACGTCCAATTCGAACTGTCCACCTAAGAACCACTCTTGACACGCTTTATCAATACATCACCTAAGAGTTTAATGCTATACACTACTGTACAACACCAATACAGGCTAGTTACTCGTACTTTCGACATCGGGTTATGATACCTAGAAACTTATGAAATATCAGACTAGAACCACACGACATTACTGCACTCTTAAGTACAAAACTGGCCAGGTCTACCTAGTCTCCCTACGATTTCTATACACGCATCAATACACGCAAAAACAATCCGAGATATTCTATAGCATAGCACACGTAATCCAGAGAAAAAATCGTTCAACTACTGAAATCGCAGGTTTCGAAAGACTCCTTGCGTCGCGGAGCTCCACGGTCATGGCAGTAAAATGCATCCTATTGTGTGGGTCGATAATGAAGAGGATGTTCTGAAGAGATCATCGGCAAAGACGGTGAATGAAGATTCACTCGGACTGGGAAACGTTTTCCGGCTATGTCCAGTTCGTATACGCCTTTGTTCAAATAATGAGCTGATACCCCAAATTCCTTGTTCTCCACATAGGCCGTGCATACCTGAAAAAACACCCATTGAATGACGACCTGATGTGCCAAGATGATAGAAATAAAATAATATAAAATAAATAAAAAATAATGAGACACAAGCCACGTGAGCTGATGACATATTAAATGGACTGCACTGTACTACTCATGGTTAGATGTGATCCACGTGTGGAATCTAACAATAAAAGCAGTTTATTTTTTTCAAAATTTCGATGTATTCCATCCCAAAAGGAGGAGTTTTCAAAATTTCGGTAATAAGGAGGAAAAGGAGGGAAGAAGGGTGTTTTCAGAAGTAGGAGGGAGGAGGTGATCATGGGAAAGGGACGCACTTAAGTTTAAGTTTAGCTCAAAGGCAGCGATCACGACAGTTTTAAGATTAAGTGGGTTTGAGAAAACCCGTGGTGGAGATAAGTGATACGCACCAGATGCGCGAACAAGCGAAAAACTTCCGTCAGGGAAAAAGTAAAACGGGCGAGCATTTCTTCGGCCATATTTTTTTCCAGTACCATAAATTCGTAACTCGCATCACTTGAGCGGACGCATGAACGAGTTCATGCATGCGTTTATTGGCAAGCCCATTCAATTTCCCACCTCCATTGAGTTGCTCCAGCAGTGCCGCTCTGGCCAATTTCACCCCCAACTAAGCTAGTAGGGCGGAATCGCTTTTGGGGGCGGCTAGTGCTTTTCGGAAGTCCTGCTCAGCAACCAGCAGTATCCTCCTCGTCGTAGGAAGCCCACATTTCGCTTCCATTCTGGCGAGCCATAGTAAACTGCTGTTTCTAAAGTGGTGCTATCTATGCTTCAACGTCTCCCCTTCTTCATCACAGTATATTGCGCCTCTAATACATACTCTAATTTTTCTTGAAAGCAGGCTGCATAAAGCAGTTAGTGAAAAGCAAACACACCACGCATAACGGCCAAATGCACGCCCTTGTAAGCACGCTGTCCCAAAATTATGAAGCCATTCACATTACTATATTTTCTTTCATGACGAATGCCGAGATGAATCAATATATAAGGCTTACATTGCTCACATACCATAACCAAATTTGTGAAACAACAGCATTCTTCGGAGTTGTTCCCTCACTGCGACGAATACGAGTTCCAAAGTCGTTCCCTTGGTCTACGCGCACGTTATACGCTGTTACTTCCTCGTTTATTTCTCCCAAGGCTTCCTTCAGTACTGCTTATAGTGACCCAAAAGTGTAGTGAAGAACTCAACCTTACTTCCACTCGATAACCACGCTTAGAAGGGCGGCCTCTGTCCCATCGATGATTTCGATTTATCCAGCTCCTTTGGGATTCTTCCGACGGAAAGTCATGTGTTTGAGTCAATTTGAGAACCGAATGTTTCAGCCACTCTTTCAGCAAAACACTGGCGTTTCTCCCTTTCTCAGGCCTATGCATGATGAACCCTGTTTCCTATTATCGTTTATTGATCTTCCGTAGAGCCCTGTGAAAGCTAAAAAATATTTGTCGTTGTCCTTTGTTGGGGGACTTGCCTCAAGCATGCGAATGATAACAGGTCACGCTAAAAAACCCTCCACCATCCTCGAAATAGAAAGTGTTCCACCCCGCTCCGGAGGCAGATTACAAGAAGATCTTCCGGCAGAACTAATTAGCAAATGAAGTGAAAATAATCGAGAACATCTGCTGAATAAATTTTTGAATTTTGGCGCCCATAATCTTGGGACACCCTGTATACACCACCTATAGCTCAACAAGTGCTTCTTAGCAAAGCATTTGAAATGCACGAAGATGAGACGAATGAGTGCCGCCACATTGAATCTGAGAGAAGTAAATAAAGAACCCGCTTGATAGGTAAAGCTACGAAGCCAAACATTGGTTCGTGGTGTTGTATATTAACTTTTTCCAGCCCTTGACATTAAGCCATAACTATGGATTTAAGCCCTAACCATAAGCCATGTTTATGGATTTAGCAACAATGGAATAGCGGAAAGATTATCAAGAACAAATATTTCACCTAGAAGTAACCTAGTGCCAAATAAAATAAGTGGAAAACAACAGCAAGAAACTTCGCTGAGGTTCTGAGATAAGAAAGGATACTAGCAACGAACCTGACATCCTAAAGTGAATCCATAGGCCGCTGAAGTTGTCATACCAACAGGTTTTCCGTCCCTGGAATCAGTTTAAAATAAGGTCGCCTCGAACATAATTATCACAATTTTTCTGCGCTCAAATTGCAAGCGCAATAATCCTTCCCTAATTTATGTATATTCGTAAAATGATCAATCAAGCGAGATATGCGGTCCATTTCCGTGACTTTCCCTAAAGGGAACTAAGCAACTGCCTAAAAACTGAACCAGAAACCTTCACACTTGCCTGTCCTCTCTCCTGTCCCTAACATTTCCTGGTTTCGACGTACTCACTACTCATTGTTGTTTTCACTTTTATCTACGATTTGCCTCTGAAGTGACCCTCACACGTCTTCAGCGACTCCACTCCGACACTAGCTATGTTGCGGGCTAAGGCTATGTTATGGGTGTTTCACTGAGAAGTTATTTGGCTATTGAGGGCTAGAACGGTCGCTATTTGTTGTGGTATGAGTCACTACGTGCCATGGTACCCTTTATCTTCAGTGATAGGCGAAGGGCGCGGACGGTGACTCACTTTCGCGCCTGAGTTTCCTTTTCAGAAGTGACAATAGACACCTTTTGGAGGCGCATGCTATACTCTCTCCGCGCAGAAAGCTTACAGAAACCTGACATATTACTGCCAATTTTTGTCTGAGATACCTATCTCTGTGCTCCCTACTCAGTTTAGCAATCCATACATAAGGAATAGAGATACCGCCCTTAAGATGAATACATTTCGCTGTGGAAAAATACAAACGGCGGTAGAGTTTATAGAAAGCTATCTATAAGAAAGGTTGTCAGCTATCACCTAAACGGCTAAACTAAACGAATTTCTATTTCATTATTTTTCCAAAATCCCTGCTCTTCGAAAAGCAGGAACACAATTTCGACCGTGCAGCGGAAAGCAACAATTAAAAAGGCTACGAGCAAGGTGACCGATTCGGAGACACTTCTTCATAAAAACGTACAAAGGCCATTGCCGCTATCTTTCGGCATCGCCTACAAGCCTTTCCAGGAAAAAAAAACTCCACAGTTTCTCATGAAGTATAGGCATACAGTGATCGGCGTTGATTAATTCTTTTTTGGGATGCGCCAAGCATTCTATTTTGAGTCAGAATCATTGTGCTGAATGGCTTGCGGGCAAGCCGATATAAAATTAGGTAGTATATTTCAAGACTTGCACATGGGTTCTACCATGTAGTGGTGTACGAGCATGAAGTGAGACCGAAATATCCTTCTGGATGGGGCTGCGCCGAAACCCCATGCTGATTCCGATTTGACTAAAGAATCTAAATTGCCCAAGCCCTTGGTGGGCCGGTGCTCTCCTTGAGCAATGGGAACGAGCTGGTAAGGCCATCCCGTGGCACACGAAAGATACCACGACCACTTCTTACTCCCGCCTTATCGTTAGTTCCGTGCAGGCTGCCTCTGTCTAGCCAGGTAGAGCTGGATCAGCAAACAGTCAGAGGCGATGAAATCCCATGACGTGATTCGAGCTAACAATAGGAGACGACAGAGTGAGCCAGCGCGATTTGCCCTGCACCTCTGAACTGTCGAAGGGTCACCTCGGCCGCTCAGCTTTTCGGCATCTCACTGATGAAGCTTAAAGGAATCTTCCACGGACCATGGACCAGTGGGCGGGACCGGAAGTTTTTGTGACGAAATGCATGGTAGGTACGGATCCACGTGTCGAACGCACGAACGTGAACAGGATTCACTTCAAACCTTCCCATGAACGTGGATCCGTACCTACCATGCATTTCGTCGCAAAACCACTTCCGGTCCCGCCCACTGGTCCATGGTCCGTGGAAGATTCCTTTAACTAATTTCGCATAATATATGTAAAATTACGGAGGCTTGAGCGAGATGAAGAGTAAGGAGCCTTTATCGTGTACCTGGACGGACGGAACATCAGTCTTGTTAGGAGCTTGCAAGATGGATTCAACATCGGAGGTGTTGGTTTCATTGTGTCACCGGAACTTCTCAATGCATGTACAGAGCGTAAACGTTTCATGTTCATTTTGCTTGTTCTAACATCGAAGGTGCGCCATGCTTTAGAAACAGTGCTTCGAGACAAAGCGCCGGGAAAAGACGGCATCACCATAGAACTCTCCAGACGTGCGGATCCCCTTTGTATCGAGCACTTGCAAGGAGATACACTCGCTACCTGACCGAATGTGCGGTTCCAGCGGCACACACACACCAAACACAACGGTGCTGCATCGTCAAGAAAGGCGAAACAAAAGAAGGAAAAAGCGCAATTATCGCCTATACTTTCAGCACACACACACACGCCCGCTTCTGCCCAGTCCTTTATAAGGTGTTCACACGCTGTATACTGCACGTATCCGCAGACCACTAGAAGAAGCCCAGCCGATAGAACAAGCGGGTTTTCGTCGGAACTTCAGCACTCTGGACCACATCGTGACTTGCCGACGCCTCATCGAAGCAGCCCGTGAGCACCGCCTTCCTCTCGTGATGACCTTCATTGATTACAAGAAGGCATTCGATTCGGTGGAGCCAGTGAAGGTCTGGGAGGCGCTGGAAGAGCAAGGCGTTGAAAGGATCTACGTGGATGTACTGCGAGAATGCTACTCATACTCCAGGCCCGACTGTACAACAGCATTCCACTCCCTTTCACGCAAATGATGTTGTGGTACGCAGTTCAGAAGGGCGTACGGCAAGGTGATCCGATATCGCCAAATCTGTTTTCCGCTTGCCTAGAGCACGTCATACGTCGCTGCGACTGGAGCAACTTTGGCGTCAACATCGACGGTGTGCGTCTCAATCATTTGCGATTTGCCGACGACATCGTGTTGATCACGGACTCTCCAGAACACGCTTCTGATCGAGATGCTGCATCGTCTGGATGAGGTAGGGACCACTATGGTCTCACTATCAATACCTCTAAGACCAAGGGATGCGAAACCCATTCTCAGGCAGCACTCCCGTACTTTTGAAAGGAAGTCCCATCGAAGACGTTGACGAGTACGTGTACCTCGGGAGCCAGCTTAACATGAAGAACGACCTGGCTGGAGAGCTAGCAAGACGGCGCAAGGCTGGATGGGCTGCGTTTTCCTCCATAAGAAGCGTAATGGAAGACACCAAGGATCGCAAACTCCGAGCGGACTTTTCAACTCAACGGTGTTGCCTGCCCTCAGCTATGCAGGAGAAACCTGGGCACTAACGAAATCACAGGAAAGGCAATTACTATCTACCCAGGCATCGATTGAACGCCGTCTTCTGGGTTTGACGTTGAGTCGCCAACGAGAGCTGAAACTTCATAATTCCGACGTCAGAGCCATGTCACAAGTCAAAGATATTCTTCTTCACGTCGATGAAGCGAAGCACAGATTCGCCGGACACCTGATGAGGAGAGATGACGGACGATGGAGTTCGGCTACTGTGCGATGGTACCCGAGAAGAAACGGCCGCAAGGCCGTCCTCCTTTACGATGGGCAGATTCCCTAGCTCATCGAAACAACATCTATGATCCAGAGTCCTTTAGGGTGACCACACACTGGACAACCATAGCCCAAGATCGAGAACAATGGAAAAGAAGTTGGGACCCGCGCAAGGCCAACCGCCGTGCTGATGGACGGGTCGTCTAAGTATTCTAAGTAAGTAAGTATACCCCAAGACAAGTTTGGCACCAACTAACGAACGTCGGGTGGATGGAGGGTCAAGCTCGCCTCGACGGCTCGATCTGTGATTTGATCCTGGACCCCGCATGGTAAGCGGGGTCACTTGCCACTACACCACTTTCACCATGCAATTCCTCATAACAGGAGATATATACTATTTTCGAATAAAACTTTGAATTGACTTGAAATAACGTTGAACTTTTGACGTTCAGCTAACCTGAACAATATTTCGCCTCCTTGTGGCCACGGATCCAGATCCTTATCGTGATTGTCCACTAACAACTGCACGAACCTTTTTGACACGCCTCGCTCGAGTTGTTTCTCAAGCGCTTCCTTTCCGATGAAATCTTTCTGAAATTCTCATGCTATTGCTGGGAATGTTAATGCACATGCAATTAATCTGCATTAGTGGCTAACCACCAAGCTCTTATCACATCAGCATATTTTATTCTGTAAGCAAAATTAGGAGACTATTGCTACATAATTTATTATATCAACGCATAGAAAATGGTAGCTGGGATTAATCGAACGTACTGTGAAGTCAACCCGGAAAGCATGTCGCAACGCTTCATATTCGTGTGGCTGGAATCGAACACTTTTCAACTCTTCAAACAGAGTATGAAAATCACAAAGAACAAATAAAAAGGAATCGCCTTGCTCATGATCACACGGGCAAACTTGACGTACGAAGCTGTTGCGTCAATTTCTTCGTTCATCGCCTAATCGCTCTGTGTGTCGTTGGTCTGGCTCTCACAGATCGTTAGAAAGAGGTCACTCCAAACAAATGCTGTACCTTGAAATCTACGCGGAATGACCGTCCACATTCTACTGGCGTCACAGTGGCATTGATATCTTGACCCCAGTATACGTAGAACTTTTCTATCCTGAGTTGTCGTAAAGCGTAATAGCCAGAGTGCACCAAACTGTACTCTCGTCCTGCCTCCACTATTCGCTCGTAGACGTTTTGCGCTACCTAAAAACGAAAAATATGCTAGACACATGGAATATTCTAAGACCACTTTCACAACTTTCCGCCCTGCTAGCTTAAAACCCCGAAGTTCACGTTTATGCCCTGAGTAGACGGTTTGACGTGTAGAAAAGCAACCACGGACAAACCTCATTCGGAATATAGATAACCCATCCAAGTTCACCACAATGCGTGACACTGATCGCTCGTATACCAGTCGCCATACCAATGCTGATTTCCTGAAACCATTGAGTGCCAAGCTCTCAGACAGTCACGTTTGCGTAAGCTGATGGTGATTAGTGCAGTCGCATGTGGTCAATGGTTCTTTCGTACACATGTGGCACCATTATAACACGATGCAGCAGCCGTAGCTTACAGCGGCGACATATGAAGAACTAATGAAGAAGAGCCCCAAATAAGGAATACCTACTTGACATCGGAATGTTGGGAAATCTTGAGTACTCATAGACATTTCTGTCACGTCTGCCATTAAGTAACGAGACGACGGGCCCACAACATCCAGCACCGTGTACATCCCAGTCACATCCTGAAATCTTGTGATTTGAACC